AGTTGCCAACCAAGGACATAGAACCCATGATGTCCTGGTATTTACCCATAGTTGGGGGAAGAAGAGATGGAACATATCTTTTCCGTATTATATAAGGAATTGAACAGGAATTGGAAACTCTGCTCTCCGAAATCCGAGCCGCAATCCATTACTCCACTGTGTCTTAAATCAGAAACAAAGAAATATACCAAATAATAAAATATCTGTTTATATCTCTGAGATGAGGTATTATGATTACTTGCATTATTTACATTATTCGGACTGATAACCTCATCTTCATTACCATATCCACAACATTTCGGCCGTTGTATGCTCCGGCCTTCTTCAGGTGATTGGATCTCTAAGATCTGCATTATGATTGCTTGAATTATTTACATTATTCGGAATTTTAACCTCATCTTCATTGCCATATTCACAACATTTCTTCAAGGACACATAGCCTAGTAGATAAAGACGTTGGTTATATCTAGTGACTAGACCCCAAAAGTTGTGAGTTCAATATCAGACCACAGCAGTGATAAATCAAAACTTGAAGCGTTTAGGGAAATAACTGAGGCATCCGGAAGAGGCAAGGCACATGGAACTAGAACAATCTACCCCGGTGGACGAAATAAAGGGTTCCGTTCGAAATTCCAATCATCTGAAGAAGGCCGGAGTGTACAACGGCAGAAATGTTGTGGCAATGAAGATTAGGATAGCGTTCCGAATTCTGTAAAAAAATGCATGCAAATAAAAAAAGTCACATCACTTGTGGACTTTCAATAGCAGTAATAATTAAAATGGGTAGCATATGGGTTACATTAACTAGGATAATGACCTAACAGGTTGACATATCACAGCACTTCACACAGAAGTTTGGGAATAAAGCTAACAACATTACTAGAAAGAGTGACAACATTAAGTGGAATTGAGAAAACTTATTTTCCCGAAATATTTTTTTTTTTTAAATAGAACGATTTTATAAACAGAGGGAAGTACTGGTTGCTTGTTCAATAAATTTCGAAAGTTTCTTTACAAGGATACGGTTACCATTAACATTATCATTCATGACTTTCGCTGACATTTGCCAGCATAACGAAAATTAAACGATGTACACGATGTAGCTTCCGAATTGCACTTAAAGGAGAGGGTCTGTATTATTAAAGGATGCCTGAGGCCTCCCTAACAGGAAAGTGCCGGCGGTACTGGCACAAACTGCATTTACGCGTGTGGAGTTCCACGTAAATTCTGAGCTTGCATCGTTGTTGTTTAGGTAACAACCATTATAATATTTCAGATGCATACACTGGTTAACATCAGTGCTGTCACGCATCGGTTTTTAAGAAAAGCGATAATCATGGCCTATAACAAATTATTAGCACTGCTTAATGCAAGGATTGAACAGGAAAAATGTATGAAATAAACTTAGTAGGTATTAAATATATATATATATATATATATATATATATATATATATATATATATATATATATATATATATATATTTCGTGCCATGGATAAATTACAGTCTAAATTACATTGACATTTCGTTTTAACAGATATATATAAGAAAACATACAAAAACATATCTTTAAATTCTAAGGATTAAATTTAATCAATAAAATCTCCATTGTCTTCAACTACGGGCTCCAGATGACTTCGAAATATACTGCTACTCTTCTAGACGGTGTCATTGTTTAAGCTGGTAAATGCTGCCATAATCCTTGCTTTCAGTTTATCTTTGTTTTGTTTCACTAGTGATCACTTGAAACATTATGATGTTGACTGGATATATCATCCAACTCTTTACGAATCCTCTGCACTGTCCTCAGATTGATAACCAAACACTCTGAAATGTTTGTATTGAAGCTCCGGCCTGAAAACCATGCCGCTTCCAAATTTCTGCCGGAATGAAATGCATCATGGGACTCTTTTATTTAATGACTGTGCAATCGAGAAAACAACGCACCATATATATATATATATATATATATATATATATATATATATAGGGTCATTCAATAAATAAGGTGAATTTTTCGGTATAAGGACTTCCAATACAGATAGAAGCTTACATTTTTTATTTGTTTTACTTCTTTTTCACATGGATTTAATTTCTTTTGCAGATTAAAAAAATCTTTGAGAGTTTTGGTGATTAACAAAGATGGCCGACCAAGAAGTATGCTCCAGGATTGAACAGCGGTCAGTTATCAAGTTTTTGGTTGCTGAAGGGTGCAAATCAGTTGAAATTCATAGGAGAATGTCAACTGTGTATGGTGCTATAGGTTTTAGCCAAAGAATGTCTACAAGTGGGCTAAATTGTTTAAAGAAGGACGGAGCCGTGTTGAGGATGAAGGCAGGCCTAGGAGGCCTACAGAAGTGAGGTTGCCTGAGGTGATCGAATCAGTCAATGACATCATTCAGTCTGACAGAAGAACTATTGTGAACTGCTGAGGCAGGTCAAGAAAGACATAAAGAACAAACGCAGGGGTCATCAATCAGAAGGAGTCATCTTGCATCATGACAACGCAAGGCCTCACACAGCAGCCCAAACGGTGCAGACCATCAACGAGCTGGGCTGGAAACTGCTCCCTCATCCCCCTTACAGCCCAGAACTTGCCCCTTCAGACTTTCAGCTGATGGGAAAAGTGTGTAACAGTGCTGGGAGACTACGTTGAAAAATAAAAAAAAGTAAGCTTCTCTCTGTATTAGAAGTCCTTATACCGAAAAATTCACCTTATTTATTGAAAGACCCTCGTATGTATGGCATGTCGAAGTGGTGTAATGGTTAGAAAGCTTGTCTTGCTCGAAGTACAACTGAGTAGTGAGTTCGACCCTCACTTTTAATAGTTTCTAGCACGTTGGAAATTTTGGTTAAAAATTTTGTTTTGTTTACGTCTGCGTCCGAACGAAAGAAAAGGTTATTTTTTTACGTTTTTCCTGTGAAACGCACATTAATTTGGAAATTCTTGCAAAAATCAAATAATTGTAGGTTTTTAATGAAATATTTACGACATTATTTCTGAATGTTTTCTTAGAAAATCTTGGTAAAAGATTTTTTTTTTTACATAAGTTAACATCAACTTACTTAATTTCATGAAATTTCGAGAAATTACATTTTTAGAGAGAGAGTTTATTTTTGTTAAAACTAGGACTCCTGGAAGAAAGCAAATCATCAATTTCTTTTGGAAAACAGTTGGCTCTGATATTGAAAATCTCTTAATTGTAAAATAAAAAAGCAATAAAACTATGACATTATATATATGAGGATTTTGCTCTTTCGGTAGATCAAAGATTAGATCAGAAAGCCAAATAATGAATAAATGTTCGCTATTGACATATTGACGGTTGATGCGATGTTTCTGCAAGAAAATAAAAAGAATATCCCTCAATACACTCACGCAGTTTCGATAATTACAGAATATGATAATTTTAGTTATTCCAATCTTTATCGCATTGATGGGAACCGTGACGGTTGGTTTTGTAAATTTTGGAACTGCTTGAAATTAGGTGAATATTTGAACCCATGTAAACGACAGCTTCGTTGATAACAGCTAGATTACAGAGAACAGCTCTGAATTCGGTAACATGTTATAATACATTTGCATATACGATATCATTTCAGAAAGAGTTGAACCATTTAGTATTAAAGATAAAATGTCCTATCTGAAGCAGTAGCTTGTTGGTTTACTTCAAACTCGTCCCATTGGTAACTTATGTATTTATTTTAGCGTTCCTTACATTATTCACACCAGCATGAACAATCTTCATAAACTAACATCTTAATATTGAACCGTATATGGAATTTCCTGCTATTTTATTTTGGGGATTAACCAGAAATCACTCAGAGCCAAATTTAGACCGCTGTGGATGTTGTTGTACCACTGTTATGTGATATTTTGATTAAAAAATATTCTTTGATCTACTCACCGGGTATTGTAAAGGCAAATTATATATTACGCAAACTTATATGACAGAGTTTTTTTTCGTTGAATGAATAAAACTACAGGAGGTTTTCTGTTTATGCATACAATATAATTTTCCTATTTTGCTATATTTTTATTTGTTTATTTTTTTTTTTTTTGCTAAATAAATGAAAATGTTCTTCGACGGATGGCTGATATCTTGAGATATCTTGCATTTCAATATTTGCAACAATTTCTTTTCTCATCATGGTGCAAAGTTTCTTTTCAATCATACAAATTAATTAGCCACATATTGCTTGTATCTAAACAATGAATAGTTTGTCATATTTCTTTTTTTTTCTTTATAAATGAAAGGCTGAGGTTAAGTGGCTATTCCCACACTGTCTTGCATAGATGGAATGTCCTTTTCTGATCATGGGGAATAGTCGAAATTATCTAAGAAGAAATAATATTAATGTTATCCATTTCAAAATTAATTCTCCATGTTTTTTCTTTCCAAATAATAAGAAACGCAATTCCTTGTATAAATAACAGTAAAAAACTATGCATAAAACAAAAAAGATTACAGACGTGACTTTTAAATATGACTATGTCTTTTAAATATCACTATGTCTTTTTTTAATAAAAGGAATACAGGAAAATGTCTGAATGAATTAATTCAAGGACAAAAATCTGAAGACGGAAACATCCGTTTCCATTTACTAATGATGGACTGAGTCACGCAAAAATGACGAAATGTTTTTGTAATCTTTGCGATTCTTACTTCCGCTTTTATTTTTGTCTTTATTGCAGATGATATTTAACATAGTGAAGACATACGCCATATTTGTTCTCGTTCGGAAAGTCGAAATGTCGATTATTTTTTTCAGTGTGCTATTCCAGTTTGCTTAGTGTTTTATTGCTCTGATTATGGCGGTTGACGTTACAAACATGTCGCTCCATTTTATTTGTTTTACAAGAAGGATGCCAAAGTAGAGAGAGGAAAAAATTAAAAAAATGATTATAAAAATTTAAGCAAACTGAGTACCGAGAAGGATGAGTAAATATAATTCCAAGATGGCTGAAAGACAGGTGTCTAATTTTCCAAAGTCTGATTCAAATGGTTTGAATTGTATTAGGTGAATATGTTGGTGGGAGGAATCCTGTGTAAATACACTGAAAAAAATGGAGAGAAGAGCAGAAGAAATAAAGAAAGAAAGAAATAAAGAAAGAAAGAAAGAAAGAAAGAAAGAAAGAAAGAAAGAAAGAAAGAAATGCCAAGATGCAAAAAAAAAAAAGGACAAAAGAAAGGAAGGACAAAATAAAAAAATACAGAAAGAAAGAAAGTTCGAGACGAAAGTCAGGACATAAAAAAGGAATACACAAATATCTGAAATAAAGAAAGATATAAAGAAAGAAAGAGAGAAAGAAAGAAAGAATTGAAGGCAAACGTGTATAATGTCTCCTGCTAATACCTCATAAATAATGGACTATTCCGTTTTGATGGCATGGAAAGAGAAGAAAAATCACGACATTGTTTCAGTATAAGAAAGAAAGAAAGAAAGAAAGGACAAAATAAATAAATAAATACATACATACATACATACATACATATATACAGAAAGAAAGAAAGAAAGAAAGAAAGAAAGAAAGAAAGAAAGAAAGAAAGTTCGAGACGAAAGTCAGGACACAAAAAAGGAACAAACAAATATTTGAAGAAAAGAAAGATATAAATAAAGAAAAAGAGAAAGAAAGTGTCAAGGCACATCGAAGAAAAAAGAAAGAAAGACTAAAATAAAAATTAAAAAAAAGAATATAGGTAATGAAAGAAACAATGCCAAATACGAGAGAATTGAATGGTAGTAAGCAAAATAGAGAAAAAGGAAATAGAAAATGACGAAAATAAATAACAAATAACAGAAATTATAAATAAATAACAAATGACAGAATGTTGGAAAAATTACCGTAAAAGTACAAAACAAAAACAAAACAAAAACAAAACAAAAACAAAAGAAAAACAAAAAACAGAATTAATCAATACAGCTGGAACTGAAAGACAAAGACAATCAAATTGCAACTTATCTTTATAAAGAAAAACAGCAATCACACTTAAGTTCTGTCTTTATTTCCGAAATGAGATATTGTAATTTTTACACTATTTACATTTTTCGGACAGTTGAAGGAGGCCGGTGCGTACAACGGCCGACACGACAATAAAGATGAGGACAACAATCCGATCAATATAAATAGTGTAAATAACATTTAAGATAAAATGAACGAATAAGGAATCCATCCAAAAGACAAAATTAGTTCAATCTAATTTTAAAATAAGATAACATAAAACTTATCAGCAAATTTAACAAACCAATATTCGAAATACGAATTGGAGACATCAAAATCAAGCAAATACCACAATTTAAATATCTAGGAAGTATCTGAAGAGAGGGCGAAAAATTCTACACAGATATCCAAAGACGCAGTTGAATAGCGGAAGATGCCTTCTTAAAACTAATCAAAATATTAAGAAACAGGAAACAAAGTAAAGAGAACGAAACTGCTACGTAATATCCTTCCTTCTCTAATAATGTGAATGCTAGACAATCTCCTTACTGATAAAGAGACTTGAGGCAAAAAAAAAATATCATTTGGTTCGATAGAACAACGATCATTAATTCACTGAACGTGTGAGTAATTGCGAAGATTTAGTGTAAAGGGAAACAGCATGTTCGCTTATACTTACAATAAGTTAGAGCTAATTGAAATCTCTAGGACATATAATGAGGAAAGAGGGTTTGGTGAATTTGACACTCATAGGACATACCGAAAGAATGGGGAACACAGAAAACCAACGAATAAACTAACTGACGGGATTGTAAAAATGGTTAGCAGAACAGGAATTAGGGGAGATTACAAAATGGCGAGCTACAAAGGAGGAGAAATTGTGGAGTGTCATGTTCACCTACACCTCGAAAGGACACGGCACAAAGAAGAAGAGTCAATCGATAAATGAACGAAATACGAAACAAAAATAATCTGATAAAATAAATAAAAGCGAGATTGAATTACCAGCGTAAATTGCAATTACACTTTTCGACGCCATTTTTAATGTTTGTTTTCATATATTAAAGCTTCTTTAAACAATTTTTTGTGATGTCATCGAACATTCGTTGTCACTTTTGTAATGACAACGAATATTCGTTGTTACTTTCGTAATGCTCGTTGTAGTAGTGACTTTATAGCCGTAGATACATCTATAGTAACGCAGTTGAGACAATACTGGTATCAGAAGCCTTCAAATAATACTCACACTATTAATACTGGCTTGACAATACTCGCTCGACAAGTAACTTGTATAATGATCTGAATATAGAAATAGTATAATGAATAGAGTCGAGAATAGTGACCCGAATAGTAATAGAGGATAGACTAGTAATAACGATCATTTAGACACAAAATCAATTTCTACTTACGCATTTCTTCTATGGTCACGTGGTCTACTGAAATAAATAATGGTATCTCTGTCGATCTATGCTCAAACTCAAGTGTCGGCTGCGTCACTTTATTCCTATCTATATCTATGATTCTCAAAATCTGTTTGTATGTGTGTGCGTGTGGGTGTGATCGGATGTTCTTTATGCGTTTCGGCAGTTCTCATCCTATTTCGATGATTTTTTCTTGATAATTTTTCAGTGCCAGTTTTGAGTCCAAATTGTTGGCGACAATAACTTTCCACTACTTCCTATCCATTATAACTCTCAGCAACGTTTTATCATTTGCTATCAGTTATTGGATATATATATTTTAAAATCATTAATAAAATAAATAGTTAAAATTATTACAATAATATTATCTATATCTATAATTCTGAAAATAAGTGTATATGTTTGTGTGTGTGTGTTTTTTTTTCACAAATAAACTTCCAGTCATAGCTCATGCTGTGTGGGCGTGATTAACACCTCCATACGTTGCCCATCGGTTTCTGCTGACCTTGATAATTAGCGCGCGCAGTAACGCGTGTACGTGTGGTCCAGCGACATGCGCTGTATCACGCGATGTCTCACGCGATGTCTCACGCGCTGATGCCCGCGCATACCCATGACCTGCGGAACGCGACTCCTGTTTGAGTTGCCCATCGGCTGCACGAAGCTTCTTTACACGCCCAGTCAAATGTCGCCGTGTCATACTCATTGTCTACGCAGTCCTAAGTTCATTACTATCGCTTAATTCCGCAATTCCGCTTCTACTTCTGTACGTCCAGCCCTGCTTACACATTCCCCTTCTCTTGGCAAAGATTTTAATCTCTCTCAGGTGAGGTTACCTTTTCTGTTGCATAAAGCCTATTATTACATTTTTAAAGCGTTGCTTTCCTTGTCGTTTATAGCCGTTCCCAATTTTTTTATTTATTGTCCAGGCAGTTTTTGCATTCTATTCACCGTAGTAATAAGTAAGCTTACTTTTTTATTACTTAACATTTATTTATCCAAACTTTCCTAAAGTTAGTCGAACTTAGTGGTCTTTGTTGCTTTACAGCCTTTTCTTCGGGTATTTGCCCACGCATTCCATTTCACATTTGATACTTGCCTAAGACATACCACCAAATAAAAGAACTTGTTTAGGGCGCAAAACCGCTGCAGATAACGAATCGTCTTTAGAATGTTCAGTTCGTTTGTCTCAAAATGCCTCTCGGAATGCTTCAATCCGAGCCACTGAGTCTGAAGATCAACGTAGCTATCGGCTTTCCAGAAGAGCATACATAAAGCAAAGCTGAAAATGATGATCATATGACACAACGACTGAGGAGAAACGCCTCTTCAACTGCTGCTGCGCGTAAGGCAGAAACTGCTGATCAAAGGACTCACCGGATGAGGCGAAAAGCTTCTTCAGCTGCTGCTGTGCGTGAGGCAGAAACAAGACTGAGAATGAAAAAAAAACGCCCCTTTTCTGAGCCACCCACCATTCAAATTGTTAATCTCCACCCATCTGGGGATGTGCCTCAGTTGCACCCAACTGTTGTTACTAATATTTATTTTCGGGTAGGCTGACTTTAAACTTAAATTGCTCCAATTAAACGGCAAAAATTCCCAGTAATGAAACACGCGGGTTATACTGCTAGTATAACACAAATCTAATATATTTTAAACATTTTGGACTCATTAGGAAGATGATCCCATATGTCATATACATTTAATACACGTTCTCTGAATGTTTTTATGATCAAGTCTCCAGCATAGCAGTTATTATTATTAAGGACGGACTGAGAGTATAACACATCAGCAAAGTGACACTTGATATACAAAACTCAATGTACCTACTGTGGATCCCCGGATTATATTGGTAAACCGGGCATCTGCATTGCTGTCAAATGTATCTGATATGTTGAAGGATTTTGGTAAAATACCGCTTAACTTTGCAGGTGGTGCAGTTAGAAGTGCTTTCATGTTGCGTAACCTATTACGCTTACAGGGCTCTGAGTTAGTCTGCTGCCAAATATCTATATATAACACCCGAGCTGCCTGGGCAGCCTCATACTGAAAAAAATCTCTCTTGAAACATGATGACGATGGTACCCCAATAATCCCTGATTAACACAGATGCATTATATGTCGCTCCGTCAGATTGTTAAGCGCGGGCCAATGAAAAGCAAATCTTAAGGTTATTGACAGTTGCCCATCTTAATTCACCATGAAAACATAGTTACGTCTTAAAACAACCACTGAATAAAAAATCAGAGGCTATATATGATCTGCCATCAGGACATCCTATTATTATTATTATTATTATTATTATTATTATTTCTGTATCTAATATCTTGTCTTCAGTCTTTTTTCCACCGCTCTAACACGGCTTCTTTGTGCCGTTCTATAAATACTTTCATGGTAATTCTTCTGATGAACGTTCATCTCTGTAACCTTGACTTTATGAAATTAGGCGCAGTACTACATTGTCGGCAAGGTATCATCATTTTACAGTTGAAATGGCTAGATGTAACCGTAAGGTCTATGCTAACAATTTTTTCTATCGTACTTATCGGCTTCTTGCTTCCCAGTGATAACTGATCTTCAAAAATTTAAAAGCAATATCAATCGTTATCATCTGTCTTCTTAATTTCTCTTATTTTATTGTTCTCTCTTCTTCGTAATGTTTCCTTTCTCTCTCATTTTATAACACTCAGTAACCTCTTGACACTTTGTGGCTTTATCGCCTTACTTAGGCTGAAACTACAATCCATTGGCATGTGTTTGCTCTAGACCTAGGTTAAGACAAGGTTGTAAGGCATAGTTTGCACAACTTATGATGTGCTAATTAATATGTATATTAAACATACGTTCTTACATATTTTCTTTCGATTGATAATATAAATACTTTTTAGAGAATATGAGCAGATCTACATAGTGCAAATATTTCGATTTCTTGTAAACAGACGTCACCTGGGACCTTGTTAATGTATTTTTCTCGATCTTACCTGATGGCCCTTAGGACCCCAATTATGATAAGAGTAGTTATGACATTTTCAAATTCAATATCTATATATTTACTTATTTTGTTATATTCTATAACGGACATTTTTTTTTTATTTGATGATGACAATGGCTTATCAATGACGAGACAAATTACTGAAGTGATTTTTTTGCTATACGCCGTTCAAACACGTAAGCCCGTGTTCCGATGTTATTATTAATTTTCTTGATTTGCTGTATGATGCTCTATGCTTATCGAGTCTTATTTTAAATGTAAATGAAATAATTCCTTAGAAAGATATTGTTTATATTATTACACTGAGATATTTCTCAGTATGTGGACAGTGCGCATGCGTATAATGTTTTATTCTCTAATCAGGGAGGCGTTTTTAAAATCATTACGTCCTCTTATATTTATCGGAATAGTGGTTGTTTTAAATCAAACATTTTATATATCTTATATTTTGAATGTTTATCAGATTCTTTTGATGAGCTATTTTTTTTTTATCATATTCAGTTATCATGCCCATGGAAAAGAAGTTATACTTCTTGAAGTCCTTTATTATTCTAAAGCGTCTACCCTTTTTATTGACCGGTCGGTTTTCTGTCATGAAGGCTCAGAGGATTTTAACATTTTCACCCGCAAGCACCAGTGGCGGCTTGGTGTTCAGATCATTTTTATGCATGGGAAAATTTATAATATTGCCCTATGTTGCAATATTAGATAAGGACTCTCATGTCGGAATTTTCGTTTGGTCATCCTTCGCGAAGATTCTAATCAACATGTTGATGTTCCTCAGTTCTTCAAATAAAAGGTTACGAAGTAAACCCTAAGCAATACTGGAAAGAGCGATAACATTCCTGAACTTGAAAACCTTTTTTCATACAATAATTGCCATAAGATAAATTTCAGCTGAAAGCTGTACTAGCTGCTCTGAGAATGAATGCCAAATATTGCCTTATAGGGAAACGGTTAATTTTACAATTACGATTTCTGTTAAGCACAGTCTCTCACTGGGTCATCATGCAATATCTGGCTTATGTTAATATGGTAGATATATACATTCTTTTGCACAAATCCAGATGTTATTAAGTACTTTATAAGGTACTGTGTTACGCTGGCATAATGGATAGCGGTTCGGAATGAGCTTGATGAATTGGAGAGACGAGTTAGAATTACAGTCAAATCCATTACAATCACATGTCATAATACCCTTGGGAAAGGTATGAATTCTCTCCTTCTCCCCCTCAAGCTATGGGTGAATAGCAGAACTGACCCGGTTCTATAGCCTTAGATGGCAACTGGTCTACCGCAGAAAAAAATGGCAACCTACTGCGGGAAAAAATCTGCCTCATCAGTCATGTATCGAAAGATATATGATCGAAAAAAGGTGAATGCCGCATGGCACATAACTGACTGAGATGAGCTGGTCTCAGAAAGTGAACAGCTATTGTACAATTAACAGTGACTACCAGAATTTTTGCATGCTTTTGCTATCTTATAAATGACTATATCTGATTTATAATAATAATAATAATAATAATAATAATAATAATAATAATAATAATATTATTATTAGTTTATAATCGATGGTGTGACTGCGTATACTGTCTATGGACTGCATTGCTTTTATTAGTATTTATTAATATTATTGCTTTTCCATATATCTTTTTACCTATTGAGCCTTCACCTTACACATTTCCTCTACATCGTCGTAGTTCGTTTTTAATCTATTCTTTCTTTCTTTTAATTTGTTTCTTTCCCTCTCTCAAGACCTTATTTATTTTGTTCCTATTTGTTTGTTGCACCACGCCCAATTCGAACTCTTTGATCATAAACAAGGCTTGATTAGCCTTGTCATTTGTGAAAACTCGACAGAAGCCTCCAAGCGGCCACACCATAAAATTATCCTATTTTATCTGTAGCATCCTTCTCGCTGACTATTATTTTCAAAGGAACGATGAAACTTTCTAATCTATCCTTTCGACTGTAAGTCCGCCTTTGTACCGAGATAGCAGCAACCTGTTTCGGAATGTAGTGTAATTCTTTTCTCTGTTATTATTATTATTATTATTATTATTATTGTTATTATTATTATTCAGTAGTATGTTTTATTTTTATTTCTAGTTATGCTGTTTTCTCTCTCTTCCTGTCTGTATTCTTGCATTGTGGAACCACCGTACTTAGCACTAGGTGTCATCACAAAAGGTTACTCGGTGAAGATGCGGTGAGAACAAAGGTATTTCTGTCACTTCTATTGGATTGCATTAGACTTATCAACGCATCAACCAAAAAGAAAAAAAATACTTCCATACGGACAATGATAAATTTCACACATAGTAAGGAAACGTGTAAAAATGAAAGAAACAAATGTTCGAGATTCGTTTTGGCGAAAATTGGTTTCGTAAATTCGCGTATTTTAGAGGCGTTCAGTTCGGTCAAATAATGATTTGGCGAATTTAAATTCAAAATTTTCAAATAATATGTACCGCAAATTTAATTCAATAAAATAATATAAAAACAGATAAAATTACAGAAAATATAAATCAAATCACAAATATGCGAGTAGAATAAAATGAAATACTAAAAATGAATCTTTTTAGAAATATATGTCTGCTATCCCACACATGTTTTGAGCCATTATACAATATATATATATATATATATATATATATATATATATATATATATATATTGGACATTGAAATGAATACCAAGAGGCG